GAAGGAAGGAAGGAAGATAGAAGGAAAGAAAGAAAGAGGGAGGAATAAAAGGAAGCCAGGCAGGCAGGAAGGCAGGAAGGAAGGAAAGAAGGAAGGAAGGAAGGAAAGAAGATGGTGGAGGGAATCTTCCTTGTTAGTTTATGGAGGAAGTGGATCTTGGGTTGAACTGTCATCTTCCTTGTTAGTTTATGGAGGAAGTGGGTCTTGGGTTGACCTGTCAAGGGGCAAAAGGCCAGGGAGGCAAGAAGCAGAGCAGAGGGGAAGGAAACCACAGTGGTCTGTGGTGAGCAGGGCACAAGACGTCATTTCACCCCTAACACAGTGGCGGGTGGATTCTTTATTTTTTGATTGTTATTTTGTAAGTCGGGGTATGAGTACAATGCTTCTTGGGCAGTATCACCCCTTCCTTCATTCCCCCCATCTACCCCTCCACATTACATGGCATCTATTTTACATAGTGTATATTGATACAGTCACTACGTTCGCTCACCCTTTGTCCCTCTTGTCCTGTGTCCCCCTTTGCTCACCCCTTGCAAAAGAAAAAAACGTGTTTCCATGTCTTGGAATATGGTAAACAGTCCTTTAGGTGTTCAGTGGAGCTAGGTATTTGGATACCTCCCTGCCAAATAACCTCCTTTAGTCAGCTTGTTTGTGTGTAAATGCATCAATTCCCCATATAATTTATCAGGCCCAGTGTATTTTAGATCTAGCTTCCACATATGAGAGAGAACACGCGACGTTTGTCTCCTTTGGCTTGGTTTACCTCACTTAACATGGTTTGTTTTAGGTCCACTCATTTCTCTGAAAATGATCTAGTATTCTTTCTGATGTATGAGTAAAATTCCATCATGTGTAGGTACCACATTTCCCTGACCCACTCATCTATTGCAGGGCATCTGGGCTATTTCCACAACTGGCTATTGTGAATAGTGCAGCAATGAGCATGGATGTGTAGGTGTCTTTACCATGTCCTGGCTCATGATGTTCTGGGAAGATGCTCAGGAGTGGTACGGCTGGGTGGGAGGGAAGTCCTATAGTGTTTTGAGGAACCTCCAGACTGCTGTCCAGAGTGGTTGTACTAGCTCATGTTAGTGCAATAGGATTCCTTTCGCCCTACATCCCCATCAGCATTTGTTGATGTTGGTCAATCTAACTTGGATGAGATGGAATCTCAAGGTTGATTTGATTTTCATAACCTTTATAGCCAGGATCATTTCCTCATGCGTCTATTTGCCATTCTTCTGAGAAGTCTCTTTAGCTTCTTTGCTATTGATTGGTTTATTAGTTGTATGGGGGGAGTTAATTTTTTGAGTTTCTGGTATATTTTGGATATTAGGTCCTTATCAGATGTATTACTGGTAAAGATCTTTTCCCAGTCTGTTGGCTGTCTTTCTAGTTTAGTAACTATGTCCTTAATATGCAGAAACTTTTGTTTGATGTAATCCCATTTGTCAACTCTCTCTCCTATTTGCTGTGTTGCTGGGACTCTTTTCAAAATGTTCCTGCCTATTCCTATAAGTTCTGGTGTTTCTCCTACTCCATCTTGCAATAGTCTCAACATTTCAGGTCTAAACTTGAAGTCTTTGATCCATTTTGAGTTGATATTGGTGCATGGTGACAAACAGGGATCCAAGTTTAGTTTTCTACAAACAGATGTTCAGGTTTTCCAATAGCAATTATTGAAGAAGCTATCTTTTTCCCAATGTATATTTTTGGCTCCCATATCAAATATTAGGTAGGTGTAAATAAATGTGAGTTTATTTCTGGGTCTTCTTGTCTGTTCTAGTGGTCTTTAGGCCTGTTTTTGTGCCAAGCTGTTTTTTTTTCCTTGACAAATAGCTTTTATTCATAACCAAGCTGTTTTTGTTATGGTAGTTTTGTAGTAAAGTTTGAGGTCTGGGACTGTGATACCACCAACATTGCTTTAAAAAAAAAACAAAAACGTAAAATTGCTTTGGAGCCAGGCGCAGGTGGCTCACACCTGTAATCCTAGCTCTGGAGGCTGAGATCTGAGGATCATAGTTCAAAGCCAGCCCAGGCAAGGAGAGTCCATGAGACTCTTATCTCCAATTAACCAGCAGAAAACAAGTAGTGGTGCTTTGGCTTAAGTGGTAGATCTGAAGGTCTGAGGGACAGTGTCCAGGCCCAGAGTTCAAGCCCCAAGACTGACCAAAAAAAAAAATTGCTTTGGCTACTCTAGGTTTTTGTTGTTCCATATGAGTTTTTGGATTGTTTTCTCTATCTCATTGTGATTTTGATGAGGATTGAGCTGAATTTGTAGATCATTTTTTGGCAGCATGGCCATTTTCATCATACTAATTCCATCCATTCTTGAGATGTAAGAGCTTGTCATCTGCAAATAGGAATAGTTTGACTTCTTCTCTGCCTATGTGGACCCCTTTGTGTCTTTCTTTTGCTTTGTTATGGGGTGGATTGTTAATTCCCAGTTCCCAGGCAGGGGAAGGGAAGCAGGATGGATGACCCACCCCACTTGCCCAGTCTGCAGGCCGGCCCAGCCCCTGAGATGGTGCTGGGCCCTGTGGAGATGCTGTGGCCACTCACCTGCAAGGCTTGCTCTTGGCCACCGGTGTGCGCATGTGCGCATGGGCGGGCAGTGCCCTTGCTGGCCAGGGATTCAGTTCCAAGCTGAAACTCAGTTCCCAGCCACGACTGGTTTAGGAGTCAGAGAAAGCTGAGAACAAAGTCATAAGCATGTGGCTGTTGACATATTGTCTTCCCTTTCCATCAACCTAACCCGGTTCTGTCCTCATTCAGGCTTGGGCTCTTGACTGGCTGAGACCAGGGCACTAAAGCCCCACACCTGCCATATTTATTATTATTATTGCCAGAACTAGGGCTTGAACTCAGGGTGGGAGGGGTGTCTCTTAGCTTATTCATTCAAGGTTGGTGTTACTACTTGGGCCATTTATGGCTTTTTTGGTGGTTAATTGGAGATAAGAGTCACATGGACTTTTCTACCCAGGCTGAGTTCCAACCACAATTCTCAGATCTCAGCCTCCTAAGTAACTAGGATTATTGGCATGAGCCACTGGAGCCTGGCTAGATTTTTTTTTGTCAGTCATGGGGCTTGAACTCAGGGCTTGGGTGCTGTCCCTTTGTGCTTTTTCGCTCAAGGCTAGAGCTCTACCACTCGGAACCACAGTTCCAGTTCCAGTTTTTGAGTGATTAATTGGAGATAAGAGTCTCACATGGACTTTTCTGCCCAGGCTGGTTTTGAACCACAATCCTCAGATCTCAGCCACCTGAGTATTACAGGTGTGAGCCACTGCACCTGACTAAAAGACTTTTTTCTTTTCTTTTGGCTTGTCTGGGGTGTGAGCTCAGGGCATGTGCACTATCCTTACACTTCTTTTGTTCAAGGCCAGTACTGTATGAAATAAACTAGATTTTTAAGTGCCAGTGAGCTCACACTCGCTGTGACACTGGCTTTCTGGAGAGTGGCCCAAGGGCCAAGCACGCTTCTTGAAACTCCTTTGGGGACAAAAGGGTGCCCTTGGCATTGTGAGCAGCTTTGTAATATATTTAGTTTTAACCCTTCCCCACCGTGGGTGTCCTAAGAGTTTGAATTCAGGGTCTGGTGTTTGCTAGGCAAATGCTCTACTAATTGAGCCACACCTCCAGCCCTCTTTTTAGCCTCCCCCCCACCCAATAAGGTCTTAGGTTTTGCCAGGGCGAGCTTCCGACCCATGCTTCTGGGTAGCTGGGATCCCCGTTGTGTGCCCCCATGCTTGGCTTATTGATTTGAGATGAGATCTTGCTGATGTTTTTCTCCAGCTGTCCTTGAACCTCTATCCTCCCAATCACCTCCTGGGTAGCTGAGATTCCAGGCAGGAGCCATCATACCCAGCTATAATTTTATTTCTTATTTTTATGGTGTGGCAGATAGACTCCAGGGCCTGGTGCACACTAAGCACACACTCTGCCACTGAGCTACATCACATATGTGTATGCGTGTGTATATGTATGTATCCAGATTCTACTCTTCCAGTTCTAAGAACAGACAAATGACACTTAGTGTGGTAATGTGTTAGTCACGATTCCAGATTGACCTGGATCTGGTTTTGGCCTGCTCCAGCAGCTGTGTCCCCCTTTGCTTGCAGCTGGAGAGACTCCGGAATAAGGTCATCCAGGCTGCCTTCAGTGCCAGTGGGACCAAGACAACCACAGAGATCTCTGACAACTCCATCCTGGAAACCCTGCAGGTGCGCCTTGCTTCTGACCGCCTCTGTGTCCTCAGCCCCACCTACGGTTGGGGGCTGGGGGGGGCAAAGGGGCGGGAGGCCTGGGATGGATTCAGAGAATGTGGCCCTCGCTCCTGGTTGTGTGTCCTGTACAGTGTGCTCTCGAACCCTTCCCCACCCCCAGGGATGGCCATGGCATAGAGGAAAAAAGCCTTGGCCACCCTCAGCCTCTCTCCCGCACAGTGGGGCCAGCAGTTGCTGCGGGGAAGGGTCAAACGTGCCTGGCTGGAGGAGGTTCTCTGCCCCCACCGGCCTCCGCTGGGCCAGGATTGTAGCGCACACATCCTGCCCGGCTCCTCACTGGCAGCAGAGACGCCAGCAGGCTCCCCCCCCCCCCCACAGGCTCCTCACTGCTCCACCTGCTCATCTCCCCCTGCTGGGAGGCGGCTTCCTGGGGACCCAGAGGGGGCCCAGAGGCCTGGAGGAGGGATGACCAGTACACGCTGGCACTGCCCTGGGAGCCCCGCACACTGGCGGCCCGCGAGGGTGGGCCTGGTGATTGTCCCCTGCAGAGCAGGACCCCGGACCTGTTCCTGCTGGTTGGAAGATAGGGGGTGGGGGGAGGTGCAGCCAAGAAGAAGCCTGCTGTCGGTGGCAAAGACCTGAAGGAGCAGCTGGGCAGAAGGAGGGGACAATGTCCCCGCCCAGGGTGGAAGGGAGGATGGTGTCTTGGTCTGGAGGAATCCCACTCGCCTCATAATCCTAAGGGGATGGATGGAGAGGTGGCTTCGGTGTTGGCTTCAGGGGTGGGGTCATCCAGGGGTGAGGTCATCCAGGTGCATGGTCTCCTCCCACCCCGCCACCCCAGACTAGGGAGCAGCTGTGGCCAGGGAGCATCTATGCCACAGGGATAGGAAGGGAGCTTTATGGTAACAGCTTCTCCCACACCACTGCTGCAGAGCGGTTCTGGGGGTCGGCGGGCTTCCAAGTCCAGGTGGGTGGAGGAAGCCACTAAAGGCGTCGTTTCTTGTCCAGAAAATCATCTCGGAAAGAAATGAGTACTACAACCAGCTGAAGCAGAAGGGAGTCAAGGTCCCACCGCTGCAGCAGTCCGACAGCACCCTGCCTACGAAGGCCAAGAAGATTACTTCCAAGTAGGCCTAGCTGGGACCCCAGCAGGAGGCTGGCCCAGCCTGGGACCCTAGGAACCTGGGTTGTCCAGAGCATGCCAGGAGCCAGCTGGGAAGCCACCTTGGGTGAAGCACTATCGGAGACAGAATTAAACCCTGGTGTTGCCTGTGGTCTTTCCTTCCCTGGTACCCACCCCCATCCCAGAGCTCCCTCACTGGGGGGCCACAGACTGGCAGGGGCCGGGAGCTCCTTCCTGGAGCCACACCCAGAAGGGACACCTCCTGAGCCCTACCTTGCAGGGACAGGGCTCCTGTTGGCTTCCCAGCCAAGCCCACCCCTCTCCTGCCTCACCTCACCAGCCTCTGTCTGTCTGTCTGTCTGTCTGTCTCTCTCCTCTCTCGCCAGGGCCTCACTGACTGGCCTACATTCTCACAATTTGTTTTTATTTTTTGTGGTTCTGGGGATGGAACTAGCTTTTCCAGGCAGACTGTCTATGGATCATGCCATGCCTCAGGCCTGGGCCACGCTCAGGAGACGGTGGGGAGGGGGGTGGGAGGTGGGTGACGTGGGTGGGGTGGGAGGTGGGTGATGGTGGGTAGGATGGAGGGAGCTGGTGGGTGGAGGTGGGAGGCGGGTGATGGTGGTCGGGGTGGGGGGTGATGGTGGGAGGTGGGTGACGGGGTGGGGAGTAGGGGCGGGGGAGGGGCCTCCTCCGGCTCTGCTCCCGGCCGTTTGGACTGCACGGGCTTGGGGTCAAAGGCCGAGTGTGAGGAAGGAATGTCCGCCATCCTCCCCCGGTCCCCCGCACCGGACTGGACGCGGGCAGCCCGGGTCCTCGTTCTCCAGGAGGCAGCCAGGCCAGCGCCAGCCGGACCTCCCTTCACCCCGGATTCTGAGCCGACGGCGCCTCCAGGAGCCTCCGCAGCGCTTGAGCGGACCCGGCGGCTCGGGGAGCACCCGCGGCGGGCGCGGCCTGGAGCCGGAGTCCGGAGCCGGGGCCTCGGCCCCGCCCACCCCCGCCCAGACCCGGCCCACTCTTCCCCGCAGGCCCCGCCCACCGCGGCCTGGCTCCGCCCAGGCCCCCGTCCCCGCCCATGTGCCGGGACGGCCCCTCCCACCGCAGCCTAGCTCCGCCCAGGCCCCGCCCTCGCCCCGCCCCGGTGCCTGGAGATGTCCGAGGATCCTAGCTCCGCCCAGGCCCCGCCCCCAGGCAGGCCCCGCCCCCGCCCCAGTGTGCTGGAGAAGCGTCTGCAGCGGCCCGGTGGGGGCGCAGGTGAGACCCCTGGACCGAGGCTGTGGCTTCCGGCGAGGCCCAGGGAGGAGGTGGGGCTGGACTCCCCTCGTTGGGGCCCTCCTGAACTCTCCGAGCCCCCTCCCAGCCCCCGCTAGAGGATTGCCCGGGCTGGGCAGGGCTGTCCAGCAGGCCCGGAACTGCCCGCCCGCCCCCTCCAGAGCCAGGGACACCCTCTGGCCAGTTCCCCTCCCCTCTGCCAGCCCACAGCGCCTCCCTTCACCTGCGTTTTGCTTATTTAAGGCCGAGGCATCCTCTGGCACATCGCGCCCCGGCCCGGCCAGCTCAGAGGCGGTGGGAGCCCCTGGCCAGACTCTGACCTCCTTCCGGGGCCCAGAGCTGCAGCTTCCAGATCTGATCTGTAAGTGCGGGGTCTCCAGAGGATCTAATGGGGAGTGGCTGTGCAGCAATGCTGGGCTCACACCCTCCCCAGAGGGGGGCGAGAGCTGGCTCTTAGGGTCCTGGCCAGGCCTGTAGCTGTTGCACAGACCTGGGGTGAGGGAAGGCCTGGAGAGCCGGGCTCAGAGTTCCTCACTGGCTCCTGGTGGCCTTGTCCAGATAGTCTGGGAGCCATGTGTTCTCTGCCTTCATCAGCAAAGAACAGGATCCAAAGCTGGAAACAATTGAGGACCACAATCCAGACACCCAGGAGCCTGTAGGAAGGCAGCAGGTGCTGTGGGTTTGGAGACAGGACTATGTGCAGGCTGAGTTGCTCATGCCTTCCCAGCCAGGAGAAGGAAAAGAAAGGGGTGGCTGTTAGGGAAGATCTAGTGGATGAAAGAAAGGAGACTGGTCAACAGATCAGACTAGATTTTAATATTCACTGCAGAGGACACCACACACACAAAGCAGAGTCAGAGATACAGGGGTGCAGAGGGAGGGGGCCCAGGATCTAAGCATAGCAAAATGAGGAAGTAATTAGTTGTGAAATTCAGCAGCTACCGCAGACAGTCTTTCCAGAGGCAATGTGCACTTTTAGAAAGGGCCAGGGCTGATGTTTTTCCAAACACTGGCCCCCAGTGGGTGGGGGTCCATGGGCTGTGAGGAGCGTGGGGTTTTGAGAGTGAGGCGATTCCCATCAGTGGCTGCTTCATGAAAGCACCATCTTCCCCGTGCACCCGGCACTTGGCACACACCTACTGATTTGGGAAAGGAGACCAAAGGTGTTACGCTTATCTTAGCCCAGTAGTAGCTGTCATGTGATGCCGGCTCATTGCTGCCAGAGGCAAGATTGGAGATTTTGCCCACCAGGAGGGATGGGTGAGCTGCCTGCAATAGATCACGCTCTCCAGGAACCCTGCTGCCCGGCACGCCCAGATGGCAGGGTCCACACTCCAGGAGCTGCTGAAACTTGAGCATCAGCCACCAGCTCCCACCGGTGGCTGGGCTTCTTACAGTCTCCTCCGCCCCCCCCCCCCCCACGTCAGCCTGACATCAGGGCAAGGGCAGACACACGGATGCATGATGGGAAGTCCTGAGTTTCAGGGCTGCTTTCTCACGGAGCAGGGGCCTGCTGTGCATGCAGGCCTGAGTGTGCAGGATTCCCGGAAGGACAGGGCAGCTCCGTTTCCAGGCACGAGGGGCCGCTTGTGTAGGCAGCCCCTGCCGGGCCAGACACCATAAAAGGACACTGAGTGCCATCCCACGGCTTAGGTGATCGTGGCCTTCCAGTGCCTCACCCACACTCTGGGTAAACAGGAGGTCTTAGCAGAGGTCAGAGGTTAAAGGTCAAGAGGCCCCCACTTCCCCCACCCCCAGTCAGGGGCAGGCGACATGTGGTGGCTCTAATGTGACTCTGACCCTCATTTCAGTCCCAGCCCTCCCTCTGCTCTTGGGATACCTGAGCTGAGTCCCAGCGCTGTGAGTCGGAGCAGGACCTGGCCTCACAGTGGGTCTCTCTGGCCCTGGGCTGTGTGGTCTGCTGGCCTGCATGGGCCCCCCAGGGGCCTGGCATAACCCCTGTGCAGACGGGGTGAGACCGCATGGGGGGGGGGGGCTGAGGACAGCTGCAGGCCTCCGCCCTGGAGGGCTGCACTGGCCGTACCAGTCACTGCCTACTGCTCATCCCTTCCCTTGCCAGCCTCTGGAGCAGCCCTGCTCTTTTCTGCAGGGCTGAGGAGGAAGAGTTACTGGCCGCAGCAGCTAGGCCTGACCACTGGGTCCTAGTGTGAGTTGTGCCAGCTTGTCCTGGTAAGTCCAGCTGGAGGAGGCCCCAGGGGCTGCTCCCACTCCTGAAGCCACGTGACCTGAGCTAGTTACTTACCACCCTGGTGAGTCAGGTGAGCACAGTCCAACCCTCCCCTCTCGCGCCCAGTCAGCCCCTACCGGCCCGGTGTGGGGCTGTGCTGAGTCCACCTCCTTCCCCCAGGGGCGGCATGCAGCCCCAGGAGAGCGGCGTCCACTACAGCAGGTGGGATGACAGCAGTCGGGACGAGGTCAGCATGGCTGCTGTCTCCAGCACGGAGGAGTCGTCCTGCAGGAGGTGAGGCCCCACGGGCTGCTCCGCAGACAACGCCCTGCCCACCCCGGGGCCTAGCTCCCTGTGCCAGCCCACCCCAGGTGCAGCCCTGGTGCTGGCAGCCCATCGCCCCACCCTCGGCCTTCCGGGCCTCCCCTGATGGCTGGCGGCCTCCCGTAGGGCCTGGGTCTCCCCCCCCTTCCCCCCCCGCAGCCCGTCCCACAGCACATTCAGGAGCCTCGCCTGTGTCTTGGCCAGGCCTCACCTCCCACTGCTGCTCTCTCTAGGATCTTCCAGAAGCTCTGCACAGGCAAGCTGGGGGTCGCCATGAAAGTGCTCGGCGGAATTGCCCTTTTCTGGGTCATCTTTATCCTGGGCTATGTCACCGGTTACTATGTGCACAAGTGCAAATAAATTCTAAGTCACGTGCTCGAGGCTGGCCACACGCTGGGGCACGGGGATAGGGGGCCCCTTGGCATGTTTGGATCCCCTCCATGGAAAAGTATATGTGGTCCCTGGAGCAGAGAGCACACTGCACACAGGTGTTGGCACCTGGCCTGCCACGTGTGGTGTATATGGTTGCCCCAGACCCACACAAGAGCCTGTAGGCACGCACAAATGTGCAAGCCACACACCTTCACACACGGAAGTCCTTCACAGGACATGAGACACAGCTCGGGTACAGCTGGCCACTCGGGGCACTGGTGGTGGGGGATCCGGGTCCCTACAAGCCTGTGGCCATCTAGGCCAGGCAGAGATCAGGGGGCTTAGTGCAGACAGCCCAAGCCCACCTTCCTGGCAGCCCTTTTCTGGCAGGGTGGGCTCTGACATGGATCCCCGATCCTGCCCACCCTCCCATTCCAGTGCGGAGCCGAGGGCCGCCTTCTCCCAGGGGCACCACCAAGTCTTCCTCAACAAACCGGACGAGGCACTCCCTGGCCACCCACTTCACAAGGGTGGTCCGCAGGAGGCCCCAACCTGGCCTCTCAACCACTGCAGGCAGGCCCGAGGTGCCCCAGGGCTCCAGGCTGAGCCTGTGTGCGCACGAGGGATCAAGAGACTGTTGAGGAACACGATGCGCACCGGGCTGTGCTGCCCTGGCTGCCTGGTGAGGCGTGACTCAGGGCCAGGCCTGTCCTCCTCGCAGCCCTTCCTGTTTGGCTCCGTGCCCTGGAATGTGCCCCTTCCTGTCTGGGCCCTCTCCAGGGACACGGACAAGCTGAGGGTCAGGATGTGCTGGGCCTGGCCCCCCCCCTCCCCCCCCGTGGCCGTGTGTGGACAGGCTGTGATCACTGGGGCTGCTGCAGCTGGTTGCCTTGGGGACTCTGGGCTACACACTTGCCCTGGTCTATTGCAAAACGATCCAGACCCCGGAAATATTTTCTAGAAATACCCCTCAGCAAAAGTGATCTTCACTTAGGGGCTGAGGGAAGTAGGCATGGGCAGCCGCTGTCCTCAGGGCCACAGGAAGGAGGCCGGGTGGCAGGTCCAGATGCTGACAACTCAGGTTGTGCTTGGTCCTGTGGATAGAACCTTCTCCATCCCGTCTGGGGGGAGAGGGCGGGGGGAGGAGAATGGGGACGGGGTCTCACATAGCTGGCCTCCCATTCCCAAAAGGCTGTGACTGGGACCCTGAGGGATGCTCCTGGGCTGGGTCTCCATGCAGTGGCCCTTCTGCAGGAGCCTGTGGCAGGCTGGGCAGGGGCTGTCCCAGTGGCTGGTCATTACAGCCTAGGCTTCAGCTCCAGTCCCTCCCTGTAGCTTTTGCAGGATGGCCGTGGCCTAGGGCTGGGGGGAGGTACAGGCACTGCTCAGGCTGGGAACAGGGGGTACTGCATGGTTGCTCAGCTTCTAGGGGACCCAAGACCCAGCACTCTGCCCAGGTGTCCCAGGGATGCCCAAACCTCAGTCACAAGCAGCAGGAAGGTGGGATGAGGAGGGACAGGCCACAGCATGGACTTAAGGTGACCGGTTGCTCTTCTGGCTGGCCCAGCTACCGCTGGGGTCTGCCGGCCTGCCGCACCCTGCACCCCAGCCCTCATCCCGAGTCACCCGGCACAATGGGCAGGCACTCCAGCTGCACACAGCCTCCACTTGAGCCAGTTCTGCTCAGGCCTCAGCCCCATTCTGTCACTTGGCCCCTGGGCTCCAGAAGGCTGGGAGATCATGGATAGATCATGGCTACCCAGCTCTCTTCCCAATGAAGACTTGGGAGCAGGACAGCGCACTGGGCCAGTCAGAGTCATGGATGGAGGAGGCCCAGGTGGGTTCCTGATCTAGGCAAAGATGGTAGGGGCAGCCAACAAAGATCACACAAGGCCCAGGCCCTTAGTTTCCCCATGTAGAGCCACAGGCAGACCTAGGAGATTTTTGCAACTCTCCCACAAATCCTCTGGGAGTGTAAGTGGGGAAGATCACGGGATGAAGCGGAGATATTTTCTGTCAAATGTTTTTTATTAAGAGTGTTGGGTGGGCAGAAAGAACATCGCGGGAGCTTTCTGCTGGAAGTTCAAACCTTCCCAGAATCCAGGCTGCCCCAGAAAAGAGCCCACCAGGCGCTGGTTCATCCGCCCGCCCTTGTGAGCCCAGGGGCAGCGCACTGCCTGCAAGGGCGGAGCCACAGCAGCCGCAGCTCCCCAAAGGGCCGGCCTGGGCTCCCACTGGAGCAGGAGTAGGGTCCCAGCTGGAGAGAGCACCTTGGGCCTCCCAGCAGACACTGCCAAGCGCAGCACCAGGGGCGTGAGGGTCAACAGCATGAGGTGACAGAACCACCCTTGCACACCGCGTCTGCGAGTTTCTGGGGAGGATAAACAGTCGCCAGGCACAGCCACGGAGGCCCCGCCAGGCAGCAGTGCTCAGCCGCAGCGTTCTTAGCCACCAGGAAGGCCTGGCAGAACCTAGGGCCAGGCTGGGGGACAGGGCAGCTGGCCCACGTCTCCAGCTTTGCAAAGCCACCTGGCTTGGTTAGGACCCTGAGTCCCTGTGGGCTACTGGGACACTTGCACAAACTCAATCATGTCTTCTATACAAGATAGAAAACTGTCCACTCCGGCCAAAGACCACCAAAGCTAAGACAGTGCCATCCATTACAAGTCTGCAGACTGGTGGTAAGGCATGCGGTCGGAAGGGCGCTCTGCAGTGGGCAGGTCCTCAGGACCAAGCAGTCCAGCTCCAGGGAGGGAGTGGCTGGTGCTGGACACACATACATGGCAGTTTTTGGTTAGAAAGCCTGCTACCTCCCCCAGTCAGCCCTGGCAATTTGTACACAGAGTCTTTCTGTCCACTCACAGAAGCAGGGCAGGGGCACCTGCAGGGCCAATATGTGAGCCACGACCAGCCAGCTCGACCTCTGGTACAGTTATGTGGGGCAGGTCCTGCCTCTCCCTGCAAACCCGGGCTGTTTTCTGAAAGGCCTAGTATAGTACAGCGCCTGCCCCTTGAGTACTGACAGCCACAAGCCAAGAGGATAACCCTGCCACTTCTAAGATCACATTAAAAACCTGGTGAGATGACGCAAGCTGGGAAAGGTGAGAGGTGCACGTCAGGCACATCACCACGGTTCTACAGAATCCACGTCCTCCGCCCTCTCTGGTCACATACAGCGTATTCACACCACGTTCAGTGTTTGTCTTTCCTGTAAGGAGTTACTTGCTGGGGCTACATGATCAGAACATTTTGAACAGTTAATCCTGGTATTTGGGAAATTCCACAGAAAACAGTAAGATTGGGTTAGTGACAATGTCACTTGACCCCACCAACCACCCAAAAGCCAAACAAATACAGACACCTTAAAAACAGCCAGGTGAAAAGGTACCGATGACTTATGGCCACACACAAGCCTCTGCAAGATCGCGGCCTCTGGCTTCCATGCGTGCCAGCCGGGGGCACCAGTGCCTCGGCGGGTGTCAGCGAAGCACAGTCACATGGGGAGGGGCGGTGGTCAGGTCAGCCTTGGACGGGTACACCACCTTCAGGGTCCCTTCCAGGTCTACCACTCGGACCTGCTCCACCACCAGGGGGCACTGTCCATCCTTCCCAGGGTTTGGGTTCTTTTGGGAATCCGAAGGTTGTTCAGAAAGTGTGTCAGCTTCTGTATCTGAGAGTGATCCTTCCTCTTTGTTTTCTAATGTGTATCTGTTTAGTTCTGCCATTTTCTGCAAAGGAAAATTCCTTTTTAAGCAAGCAAGAGGACTGGCTACTCACCCGTACAGGGAGCCAGGCAGCTATGTTACTCACCAACACCAGGGCGTCCATGATGTCTTTGCAGATCTGCAGACTGGTGGCACTTGTGACTTCCAAAAACAAATCACTTGTCGTTTTCTTAATCTTAAAGACATTAGATTTCAGAAAAGATCAGTCAATAAAATCAGACATTGGTAACCGCAACACAAACCCAAACAAAGCGAGACTAGGACCTTCCATCAAGGCCGGGGACAAGCCCATACCACCAGAATGCCTGCTGTGGGGCAGCACCAGGGACGGCCAAGGCCCCCAAGAGAGGGCTTGACACTGCAACACAGGGAAGCCACATCCACCTCGTCTCCCTACCTTCGTCTTCTCACTGTTCGTTATGGGTGGGAAAGAAATCACGTCTCCATCTGCATCCACCAGACACGGGTAATTCTCCTTCCCATCCAGTAAGTGCAGATACCTGGGACAGGACAGACGGCCGGCAGTTAGGGCACACCCACCCGCCAGCCTGAGCAAACGGAGCAGCTCCTAGCACCACGCCAGGGCTCAAACTCGGTATGCTACCATCTTTGCTGACATGCCTGGTGGTGCCTGAGCCATTCCACTGCTGTCCAGAGGGCCATCCTGCCCAAGAGGTAGGTGGGACCTCCACCTTGGTACCACAGTCTCCCTGGGGAAGGCTTTCGCCTGCCCAAGCCCCTGGAGAGAGCAGGCTATCATCTGTCTGCCTTTTGCAGGGAATTTGGGGAGGTCTGTCCTGCCCTCCCTTGCAGACCTGGCAGCGTGGAGGGCTTGCTGAGGAGTGGGAGGGGCTCAGTAGGGGTGAGCCAGCAGGGGCAGCCCGCCCACCTGTGCAGTCCTGACACTGTCTGCCTCTTCCTCTGCTTCCTCTGCTCATCTGCTTCAACTTGCAGCTGTCGCACCAGCTCCTTGGCCTTGACTTCTTTCCGCCCCAAGGGGATGATCTGTCAGGGTAAAAATCCACACACTTGCTGACCCCACAACCCCAAAAGTTTACTGTCTGTGCATTAATGACACCCTAGTTCCCATGCTCCTACGACTGACCTCTAGACAGAGCCAGCAAGTCTCTAGGACGGAAAGCCAGCAGGCTGAGGATGGAGCGCTCTCCCATGGGAGCCTTTGGAGAAGTGCCTCTAACTTCAAATATTCTCAGAGACAGCTCTACCTCAAGTCCAGCCAGCGCACAACTGTGTTTCTGAGGGCCTACAGGGCTCAGTGGGCAGAGCTGGCCAGGTCCGACAGCTAGCATCTGAAGGACCCCTGCAACAGTAGCTCACCCAAAGCCAACCTGAAGGCAGATGTTTTACAATGGGAACATTAAATAAAATTTTCAGGTAAAACTTAATGAGCAGTTGGGTACCAGTGGCTCACACCTGTATCCTAGCTCTTTAGGAGGCTGAGATCTGAGGACTGCGGTTCAAAGCCAGTGTGGGCAGGAAAGTCTGTGAGACTCTTATCTCCAATAAACCACCTAAAAGCTAGAAGTGGCTCTGTGGCCCAAGTGGTAGAATGTTACCCTTGAGCAAAAAGAAGCTCAGGGACAGTGCCCAGGTCCTGAGTTCAATCCAGGACTGGTACAAACATACAAGTTAATGAGCACATGAAAGAAACCGCTTCTAGAGAGTTTGACTTCAGACCAGTGTCTCATTTCACCTTGTACCAGTACTGCCTAGAAGCACACAGGAGGTTTGGGCTCAACCATGCGCATCTTTGGAAAAGCAGCAGAGCTGGAGGCTGGGGGGCGGCAGGCACCTTCAGGTCCTGAGGCGGCCGAGCTGCATAGAGCAGGGGTCCCCGCACGGCGGGCAGGTCGTGGGTGGCGATGGTGGCTGCTGTCCGCTTCTCACAGAGGTCCTCATGGAGCTTGGTCTGCGACACAGGCAGGAGAGGAGGAAGGGCACGGTGAGGTGCGACGCGAGGCCCGCAGCCTGCGGACCCCGCTCAGACCTGCCAAGGGCTGCCAGCACCACTCTAATCTGGCCACAGCAGTGCTGGTTCTTTAATTCTAGAACTCAGGGTTTAAGATTTCCAAGAACCCATCCTGAAATAACATGTGTGACAGCAGAACAAGCACAACTTCAGCAGAGTTCCCCAGTAGCTCTTCTGCTGCTGGCTTCCTCCCCGAACCACAGAGGGCGGGAACAGTGAGCAGGGTTCTAGGGCAGCAACTCGGCTGCCTTGGGCAGGAGGGAGGGAGCCTGGCGCGGCCCGGCTCACAGGCAAAGCTGTGCTTTCTGTCTCAAGGACCTGGCATCCCAGACAGACAACACTTGGGACGAGCAAAACCTACCAGCCGCGCCACTGCTACAAGGGGATGATTCACCACCACCTTGTGTAGAACAAAACGTGCCATTTACTGCATAATCAGAAAACCTGCCCAGAGCCCAGAACTGAGGTAGCTGGCATGCATTTTTGGTGGTGGTAAGGCCACTTTCAGAGGGTAGGGTAAAATGCAGAAGTGGAGTGTCAAAGAGCAAGGGCAGAGGTGAGGAGCCCAGGGCTGAGCAGAGGGTGCTGTGGACACCAAAGAACAGGAGCTCCTGCCCGTCCCGTGGACTGGAGAGGGGAACTGAGGCACAGCAGCCTCTCAGCTGAGATCCAGGGCTGCACCACTCCTCACCATGGCTCTGGGACGCGCCCCAGTGACCTGGCCCCTCCCAGCCCCAGGCTGCTGCCTGTGCCCACACCTGAGCGGCGAGGAAGCGCTTGAGCGCATTTCCGGGCTCCAGGTTCATGCCTCTCACTACAGCGCCCACGAAGTACGGCCGGACATCCCGAACCTCAGGGCTCACTCTGACGGTCAGGGGCGTGGGGTTCTCAGAGACGTGCAGGACCCGGAGCAGCAGCTTGGCCATGTCGGCTGCCTCCTCCTCCCCCTCGCCACTCTCCCGCCTCTGCTTCCGCTCCCTCCGCTTCTTGCGGCTGTCTTCCCTCTCCGAACCGTCCGCCTTGCCCCGGCTCCGGCAGCCGCCACGGCCCCCGGCACGCAGGTACTCCAGAATGGACCTGGTCTGGCAGCTGCTGAGCATCTTCTCCAGGCGCTTGTCTCGGAGCTTGTTCCCTTGGAAGTTGATCTCCTTGAGTTTGGGGCAGTCGGCCAGCTCTGCGGGGATCTCACTCAGCTGGTTGTTAGACAGGTCCAGCATCTGGGAAGAGAACGGAGAACACGTACATGTCAAGGGACCCAAACGTGGGGGGGGGGGAACTCCTCTACTGAGACACCTGAAGCTGCAGCCACACGCAGCAATCCACCTGGACGCCAGACACTTCACATCTTTTTGCATCTTTGTGATTCTGGGGCCTGAACTCAGGGCCTGGCTGGTGCTAGGCAGGTGCTCTACCACCCTCAGCTGTCCTTCCCCAATGTTTGCTTTTTTGTTTTTGACATAGGATCTAGCCTTGAACTTGTGATCTCTCTGAGTATGCCTGAATAACTGGCACTATAGCTATGCACCACTGTGCCCAGCTAAACACACCATTTCTGTCCTGCAAGGAGTCCCCAACAGGAAGGAGCGGTCTGCAGGGGCAGTCACCTCCGGAAAACCTTTTCTCTGACTGAAGCATCTCTCTTGAATCCTGTATCTCTTTTGGTCAGCCACCAAGCTAGAGGAGAGCAGATAGCAAGGGTTCCCAGGTGGTGCTGAGCAGAGAGAGAGAGAGAGAATGGAGCAAAGCCTCCAGACAGACTCTGCCCACATTCAGACTCGAAGCTGCCGGGATGTGGCCTGTCTGCTTTTGCCTTCTACACAGTTGGGGGCGAGGCACTGCGCTCACTGTCTGTGCCCGCGCACTCTTGGAGCCCAGGAGTGGGAGGGGTCTTCCATAGCTCTCACTGTGGGCTGGCAGACCACACTGCTCAGCTAACACTGTCCTTGGCCTTCTTGATGCCTCCTCCTTGGAGCCTGGCTGGGGAGGTCCGTGCGGCGGGTGTACAGCTCCCTCTTTCCCTTTCGGCTGTGGGAAAGAGGCCACTGCCTGCTTTGTGCTTCTGGCTCCTGACAGGTATCTTGCCCAGTGTGACTGGCTGGCAGCCTTGGAACCTTTGCTTCTTATTTCCTCTGGGGATGGAGGGGGCTCTGGCCGGCCTTGCTCTTCACTTGCTGATGCCAGGACTAAACATTTGGGGTCTCTGGGAGTCCAGAGGGAGGCGTGGCTCCAGACACACCTGAGCTCTGTGACACACAGGTGCCTGGAAGCACACACCTCTCTGTGTGGCGATGTGGCCGAATACCAGCTCCATTTGGAACTGGGGAGAGGGGGGGGAATGACTGGTTGCTCTGGGGCTGAGGCGGCCAGTCCCGTGTGTGTGTGTGTGTGTGTGTGCATGCGTGTGTGTGTGCGTGTGTGTGTGACAGCTGGGCACAGGGAAGGGGCTTTGGATAAGCTTCCAAAGGCACAGCAGAAACCCAGGCAAACGAGCGCCCTCCGGAAAGGAAAGCCTGACCCAGCAGCTGTCAGCAGGCCTCAGCACCCGGGTGCCCCTGGGGAGAGGCACGCGCGAGCACCACTGCAGCTGGACGTGGAGATCAGACTGTCCGATAGAACTGTTGCTGCAGGTGGGCGGCCTTTGTCCCAAGCCAGCACTTCAGAGTCGGGATGCATCAATGAGGGAACCCAAGTGCACAATGATGTCACTGGACGTACACAGAAGTGTTTTACACAGTGACTGCAGTGACCCACGTCTGACTGCCACCCAGCACATAAAGTCAGATGTGGAACTTTCCACTTGGGTGTCGTGTCAGTGCTCAAGGTTTTTGGATGAGGGATACTGAACCTGTTATTCCTCTCCAGATGCTTTGCGTTGCACACAGATCTGGGGGTGTAGGCTGACTGGCTGGCGGCCCTGCCAGTCACCGAGAGCATGCCTGCCAGCTTCTCCTATCAGAAGCAGAGTCTAGGCTGACAGTACCCCTAGCCAGCAGCATGGGAACCAGACACCGGTTCTGAGCCAGCTCCAGAGCTCGGCATTAGAGCAAGCTGGGCCAGCTGCTGCGGAGCGTGGCCTGCCAGGCCACCAGCTCCAGAGCTCGGCATTAGAGCAAGCTGGGCCAGCTGCTGCGGAGCGTGGCCTGCCAGGCCACCAGCTCCAGAGCTCGGCATTAGAGCAAGCTGGGCCAACTGCTGCGGAGCGTGGCCTGCCAGGCCACCAGCTCCAGAGCTCGGCATTAGAGCAAGCTGGGCCAACTGCTGCGGAGCGTGGCCTGCCAGGCCACCAGTCCAGAGGCTTGGGGCCTGGGTACAGTGCTTGAGGTCAGTACACGGTCCAAAGGGGCTCTGGTTTGAGAGCTCTATTAAGGCAAAAACTCATGCTAAAGAAAAGTTGGATGAGGGAAGATTTGTCTAGGATTTGCTAGAAGTCCCATAGGAACTCCTAAGACAGAGAGGGAGAAAAGATGCGCCAGAAAAGACAGTGAGGTAGAGAGACGCACACAGAGTGGTATCCTGCAGTGCAAAGACACAGCTCTGGGGCGTACAGAGACTTTTCACCCCAAGTACTCCTCCTACCCCCACCCTGGGCACCCACAAGGAAGCAAGGTCATGGAAATGGAAAGAAGCCTTAGGCTTCACAGAGAAGGGCCAGCGCCGGTGGGAAGCAGCAGCCTCTGGTCTCATGCACAGAGTCTGTGCCTCCAGACAATGCCAGAGCGGCTGTGAGGCTGGGCTGCAGCCTCCTGATGCCTGGCTGGGTTCTGAGCACCACTGACAACAGCAAGTGTCATCACAGGCCCCTCTGGTCCCAGACACAAGGTTTGCGTGTGGACATGAGATGTGTGCAGAAGGGTCCCAGTGGCGTGACTGTGTCAGGGACAGGTATGTGCAGGAGCACCCCAGTGCCATTTCTTCAGACCACACCCTGTCAAATGCTACCAAGGAACCTGGACTCTCCAGGTCTTGAGTATGCCTGGCCACCTCCCAGGAGCTGAGAAACGCGGGGTATATGGGAAGGGTTTGTTCATCTTGGTTACTGTGTCTGAGCTGCAAACAAGGCCATTCCTGGGCCCCCAGAGAAGTCTCTGTTAACTAGCTGAGGTACTGCGCCACTCCTCCTAGCAGACCCAGCAGGACAGCACCATGGGCCTGGGTGGTGCAGCAGGAGCAACCTGACATCCCTGCCTTTGCCCACCACAGCCCTGGTGGCACTGCACCAGAGCCTGCAAGATGGCAGGCTGTCCAGTGTCTCTCAGGTCTCCCCCAGAGGGAAGCCAGACAAAGCAGGTACAAGACAGGGCAATGAAGCCAAGTACACTAGCAGAGGACAGAAGAGGGTGGCCAGCTCCTCAGTCTCCTTGTCCCACGCTGCTTAGTGGCAAATAGGGTCCAGGCCTTCCTGTTGCAGTCCCAGGGAAGTGCGTGTAAGAACTAGGCCAAGGATCTCACCTGCAATCGCTTTCCTCTGGGAAGCAGTGGGCAGGCAAAGGCCTCCGCTGCGACTCATGCCCCTAATCCAGATATCTCCTGGTGTCTGTGTCCTTGCCTCTATACCCCTAGCCTGGGCTTTGCAGGCTTATTTGACTGAACTGTAGACATGGGAAAATGCTACAAGTCTGGGCCTGAAGGCTTGGCAGCTTCTCCATTTGTGTTAAGAAATGGCACACTGTCACATGGTGAAGTGATGGAGAGTACCAGGATGCCATACAGAGAGCAGCCAAGAAACTGCAGCAAGGGCAGCACAACTAGCTAACTGAGCCTGGGCAGGAACAAGTGACAGGGAAAAGCAATGTAAGCTGAGGGTGTACTCACAGGATGTAGAAGCCATGTCAAGACACACACTAGGCTCAACAGAGTCCTGGCAGACCAAAACATCCACACAGGGGCAGGCAGAATGGATAGTTATATAGCTGTGGGGGGTGAGGGGAGGGCCTCACACCTGAGCAGTAAAAGGATGACCTCACTCAGGGAGTCTCAGCCCACAGCCTCTCCATCTACTCTGATCTCTGCACCCCCCCTCACACATTCACACAGCGCAGAGAAGCCTTTACACAGATACAGACATTTGCCACATGAGTTGCACTACCCCAGGAGTTAACTGTCATTGCAAATCCAGCTACTGAGCCATTTATGTCTTAATAAGAAAAGCCTGTGTAAACTAGGGGCGGAGCAGCAGGGGGGGAACGGCGGGCCTGCCTGCTAAGGGTGGAAGAAGAGGAGACCTCACAGAGAGCACAGCGGACGGGAGGCAGGTCTGGGCTCCACACCGGCGTCGTCCCACCCCCGGGGCCGAGCATTCTGCTGGAGCCCGGGAAACCCACGCTAAGCGAACCACACACCCACACGAGGCTTTGCCGCCGGCTCCGGGGCAAGCCTGGGCCTTTCGGGGATCCCGCTCCGCCACACGGCCGTCAGGTGCGAAGGAAACACCTCGTGGGACCTCTCGTCCCCAGGACCGCGCGCCCCCGTGACCGCGGCCCCCTCCCCCGCCGGGGGCCCCCTCCCCGCC